CCCACACACACACACACACACACACACACACACACACACACACACACACACACACACACACAGCACACACACCGCCACAGAACACTTCACACACCCACACACACACACACACACACACACACACACACACACACACACACACACACACACCCTCGCTAACTCAGCTCAAAGGATCTATTTACGACGTGAAAGGAATTCTTTCCATCTGGCTGGCTAAGAATGCCTCTGATCACCTGAATTACGTTACTTTTAATGTTGAAAGGCACGACGTCGCCTTCTGCCGGCGCTGCATCGTTGCATATTGCGTACCGTCATTACCCCTGTTCCTCCCTGTCCCATCCTCACGGCCTCTATCCCATCTTTTCCGCCTCCTCCATCCTTCTCTCGTCCCATCCTATCTTTTCCTCTCTCGCTCCCCGAAGACGAGAGGCTTGGACGCTTAAATTCAGAAGAGGCTTCGCTACTTCCAGGTCGGCGTTCCATTCCCTATGGTTCGAGTGATCGAGCACCATTCCATCCTTCCGTCCCATCCCAGCTCATTTCCTACATATCCTTTGCAAGTGCTATGTCTATCCAATCATGCTTAACGCTATCTGCTCATAACCACCTCATCTCTCCCCCACCAAGCTGGGTGTGTGTGTGTGTGTGTGTGTGTGTGTGTGTGTGTGTGTGTGTGTGTGTGTGTGTGTGGTGTGTGGAAAAAAAGTAGTTAGTAAACAGTTGATTGACAGTTGAGAGGCGGGCCGAAAGAGCAGAGTTCAACCCCCGCAAGCACAACTAGGTGAATACCACTAGGTGAATACATGAACCAGGGCCAAACACATAAACATCAGGGCGGCTGCACCCATCACCAAACAGGAAAACCACCTCAAGAGACAGTGTATATAGCAAACACAACTAGGTGAATACACACACACACACACACACACACACACACACACACACACACACACCACACACACACACACACACACACACACACACACACACACACCCTGCAAGACAATTTGGAAAAATTCAACAGTGTATTGCTGATCTTAATACACTAGTTATGACTCTTACGGAATATTCCACAGTGTATCTGCGTCTCTACACTACCCATCAGCCAATGAGAGGGCCTCGATGGTCTTCATTCACGGGTCTCGACAATGATTAACTAAAATAGTCTTGAAAAGATTAACCTTTTATGATCAATCAAAATATTTTTGGTGCCATTCGAAGGCAAGTAATCATTCAAAGCTTTCAAGGAAATTCCACGATCCTTTAAAGTGTTACTCAGCTTCCGGCATTCGAGACTCCGTCCCTCAGAGCTTTGAGAAAATATATAGCTTTATGAACACTTGTAAAAGTCTCCAGAGATTACCCAGAGAGCATTGTCTTGGGAATGTCTGACATCCTCTCCTCTGTGTTCTGTTAGTATGGTTCATGCTGACCCCTCAGCATCACACCACACCCTCAGCATCACACCACACTCTCAGCATCACACCACACTTTCAGCATCACACCACACCCTCAGCATCACACCACACCCTCAGCATCACACAACACCCTCAGCATCACACCACACCCTCAGCATCACACCACACCCTCAGCATCACACCACACCCTCAGCATCACACCACACCCTCAGCACCACACCACACCCTCAGCATCACATCACACTCTCAGCATCACACCACACCCTCAGCATCACACCACACCCTCAGCATCACACCCTCAGCATCACACCACACCCTCAGCACCACACCCACCCTCAGCATTACATCACACCCTCAGCATCACACCCTCAGCATCACATCACACCCTCAGCATTACATCACACCCTCAGCATCACACCCTCAGCATCACACCACACCCTCAGCACCACACCACACCCTCAGCATCACATCACACCCTCAGCATCACACCCTCAGCATCACCCCTCAGCATCATACCACACCCTCACACCACACCCTCAGCATCACACCACACCCTCAGCATCACACCACACCCTCACACCACACCCTCAGCATCACCCCTCAGCATCATACCACACCCTCAGCATCACACCACACCCTCAGCATCACACCCTCAGCATCACACCACACCCTCAGCATCACCCCTCAGCATCATACCACACCCCCAGCATCACAACTCTCGCTCCTCTCATTACATCTCCTGAAGCATCCGTATATCTTATCCGAGCGTTGAAGGGAACATACGTCGCCGCCGATATTAAAATTGCTCGTATAATTTCCGGATATGTATGCAGAGAGCCGCCTCTCTGTGATATGTGACATTTATTAGATGTTTGTTCGTAAATACATACAGTATGGAAATGCCTTGTTTGCCTTTTTGGAAACAAATGTTATTGAATAAGAGAGAGAGAGAAAAAGGGAGAGATCAATGATTCGTGCACGAATCTTCTCTATATTTCTTATGGTGTTATTTACTTGCGGAAGAAAGTTGAAAAAATAACATTACAAAGTTCATTTTAGTGGTTTATTATGGTCTGATGCTAAAAGATGCATTTCGTTGATCTTGTCAGCATTTTCAAACGTAGCAGTGAAGTGGATACAAATTATCTGGAGCTGCAGAATATCTGACCAAAACGGATGAGGAGATGAGCCAATAGACCAACAGACCACTAGACCAATGGCACATGGACCAATAGACATTCTGCAGATTATTTAATTCATACGTTGGCAGGGACTGAATGTGTGTTGGATAAGGCAAGACAAGCTTTGGCAAGACAAGGCAAGACCAAGGCACACTGAATGTGCCTTCGTCTTGAGGATAGTACAATGTACCTGAGTATGAACTGGCTGTTAGTAGGATATATACTATACTATATATACTATATATACTATACTATATATACCGCTATATAGTCGTAATGGCATTGGCGCTCTTTCTTTAAATTTTTGTTATTTTTTGTTTGTTTTTTATTTAGAAAAATATGTTAGTAGTGAGACTGCTTGATATGTAGTGCTCAGTTGATGTTTTTTTCTTCTACTGTCGTTGTATTTGTCTATTAATTCGACGTTGTTGATCAGGATATATCTGGTGATGATCTGGCTGTGTGTAGACATTACATGTTCATTGATGGAGTCCTGTTGTTTGGGCATTGTTAGGCGCTGTGAAAGATGCTGATGTCTTGCCTATATACTGAGATCGTTGACATTGCCCATATGGGCATGTGAAGGCATATAAGATATTCGACTTGCCCAAGGAGTTTCACTTGGTGGTCGGGAGAGTTCTTCATGAACAAGTTGGCAGTCTATATGCTGTTGTAGTAGATATTCAACTCTATGTTCTTGTTGGTGTCGACATGTGTCTAGTTTTTATCAATAATGTCTTTCAAGAATTGTTATCCCCTTTAGTCAGCAGTGGAAAAGAAATTATTGTAGAATAGTTCAATAGGATGTTTAGATACTTTATTACTAGCCGATTCTTCAGAGGTACCGTGGCGGTTCCCCTTCCTTCCTTTTAATGATTTTATCAACATTTCCTTTTGAGTATCTTTTATATATTAAAGGGAGCCGGTCGGCCGAGCTGACAGCACACTGGACTTGTGATCCTGTGGTTCCGGGTTCGATCCCGGGCGCCGGCGAGAAACAATGGGCAGAGTTTCTTTCACCCTCTGCCCCTGTTAGCTAGCAATAAAATCGGTACCTGGGTGTTAGTCAGTTGTCACAGGCTGCTTCCTGGGGGTGGAGGCTTGGTCGAGGACCGGGCCGCGGGGACACTAAAGCCCCGAAATCATCTCAAGATAACCTATATGAAGACCTGCCTTACTCTACTGAGTTACTCGTCAACCTGCTTCCAAGTGGAGCTGGTGTGAGAGCACGGTAACCATAGGTGCCGACAGCCCCTCGCCCTTACCAGTCAGGGGCCAGATTCACGAAAGCACTTACGAACGTGTACATCTCTTTTCTCAATCTTTGGCGGCTTTGTTTCCAATTATTAAACAGTTAATGAGCTCCGAAGCACCAGGAGGCTGTTTATAACAATAACAACAGTTGAATGGGAAGTTTTCATGCTTGTAAACTGTTTAATAAATGTAACCAAAGCCGTCAAAGTTTGAGGAAAGATGTACACGTTCGTAAGTACTTGCGTAAGTGCTTTCGTGAATCTGGCCCCAGGCCTCTCACTACGGGCACTAGGACACATTCCTATGATGGCTGCCTTAGTGTAGACGGCAGTGTGAAAGCCACTATTCCTTCCCGAGACTGTTTCATCTAGGGAAAAGTAGCTTACCTGCACTTTTCATCTCGTGAGTGAAGCTAGGCACGAACTCCTAGGCGGCTAAAAGCTGAAAACACGTGACTCGCGTGCAGTTGGAGGCAGAGAGATGTGTCGTTTAGTCAGTCGTTTAGTCAGTCGTTTAGTCAGTCGTTTAGTCAGTCGTTTAGTCAGTCGTTTAGTCAGTCGTTTAGTCAGTCTGTACGTGGGTGTAGGTTCATTTCATGGAGCTTTCCACGTTTGTGGGGCTTGGCAGTTGCATACACACATTCAGTCTTGTATACACTATCATAGCTTTCTGCAGGTGAAGTTCAGACCTTTTGGCGACTGACGGATGAAGATTCAGCCACCCAAGAGGTGGCACGGGCATGAATAGCCCGTAAACCATTAGGAATACACAGTTTCAACCAACCTGTTTACCTTAATTTTAAATTTGGCAGCAGTGTCCCAATAGGAATTTAGTTTGGTCAGAGTGAATGAGGCATATTTTTCTCAATTTATATTCATCCTTTCTAACATACACTGACGACTTTCCACCTCTCATAAATATAACTTTATTTTTCTCACGAAGATTTCTAGTGGTTGCTTTTGAACTCAGGAGACAATATAGTGCTTCTGTAGTTACCTCGAGACTCTCCTCACTCTGTTTGACGTTCTGATGTGAAAAAGTGTCCTTAGTGGTGACCTTCTCTTGTGTCTCAAGGTCAGTTGTGTCATCTGGCTGGATCTCCAGCACCATCTTCCAGATTATATCTCACTTGGTATAATGTGACAGTTTATTCCCAGATTCTCATACACAGCTCCACGCTCCTGTCCCTGTACCGGTGCCTGTACCGGTACCTGTCCCTGTACCGGTACCTGTCCTTGTACCGGTACCTGTACCGGTACCTGTCCCGGTACCGGTACGTGTCCCTGTACCGGTCCCTGTCCCTGTACCGGTACCTCTCCCGGTACCGGTACCTCTCCCGGTACCGGTACGTGTCCCTGTACCGGTACGTGTCCCTGTACCGGTACGTGTCCCTGTACCGGTACGTGTCCCTGTACCGGTACCTGTCCCTGTACCGGTACGTGTCCCTGTACCGGTACGTGTCCCTGTACCGGTACGTGTCCCTGTACCGGTACCTGTCCATGTACCGGTACGTGTCCCTGTACCGGTACGTGTCCCTGTACCGGTACGTGTCCCTGTACCGGTACCTGTCCCTGTACCGGTTCCTGTCCCTGTACCGGTTCCTGTCCCTGTACCGGTCCCTGTCCCTGTACCTACAAAAAAAACGAAGGGAAGAGTCTTGAAAAATATAATTGATAAAATCGTCACCATTACCAACACACACACACACACACACACACACACACACACACACACACACACACACACACACACGCAGCATCCTTCAGGAGCACATCTCTGCCATTGTAGGCGCGAGGCAATACAAGAGGGGGAAAATATGTATCCAGGTAGAGGGCGGCGGCCAGCCATAAATACGGGCCCGACAGAGACACACACAGACGCGGGCGACCTCTGACGGCTCCCACCAGATATTTAGAGTATGTTTATGGTCTTCCGCTGGGTGCTGAGCAGCCGCTCCACTGGTGCTCAATACCCCTGTGATGGATATCACCACGAGAACGAGAGAGAGAGAGAGAGAGAGAGAGAGAGAGAGAGAGAGAGAGAGAGAGAGAGAGAGAGAGAGAGAGAGAGAGAGAGAGAGAGAGAGAGAGAGAGAGAGAGAGAGAGAGAGAGAGAGAGAGAGAGAGAGAGAGAGAGAGAGAGAGAGAGAGAGAGAGAGAGAGAGAGAGAGAGAGAGAGAGAGAGAGAGAGAGAGACAGAGAGAGAGAGACAGAGACCAACACATAACGATTGGTACAAGGGAGAAGGGAAACCAATCAACAGGTGACAAAGGAAGGGGCATATGCCGGGCTTCCCCTCGTCGCTGGACTTTCCTCCCTTCGTTAGGCTACCTACTCATCCCCATCACCGTCCCCGTCCCCATCCCCGTCCCCATCCCCATCCCCGTCCCAGTCCCCATCACCGTCCCCATCCCCGTCCCCATCCTCACATATCACCCACATCAACACCCACGATCTGCAGTAACAAGTTAAAGAATAGCACTAATGATAATAATACTAATATTAAGAATTAATAATAATAACCACAGAATTAGTTTAACTATTACAGATGCTGCTCGATACACATCGGTGTTTTTATTAAACAAACTATCATTCAGCGAATAAAATTGACTGATTTTTTTTTACAAGGGTGTGTTAATAAGGTCAAATAAAATGGGAGTGAACAGGTTATATAGAGAGGAGTGGTGTTGGGGTGAGGTGGGGAGTCCCCCGCCGCTGCTGCCTGTGTAGGGGGAGACAGGTGACTCCCAGGGTGACAGTGGAAGGGGGGGGGGGAAGGACAGGTGACTCCCAGTGTGACAGTGTGGGGGGGGGGGACAGGGGGATCTAATATTGTTTGTAACGATTCTTTCAGTTAGATCCAGGTTGCTTTGACCACTAGATTCTTGGTGGAGATGGTGGTGATTCTTTTGTTGATGGTGGAGGTTTGCCACCACCTGTAGACAGCTGGTGGAGAGAGAGGTGGGGGGATTCTGTTGTTGTTGTTGCTATAAATACAGCTGCCGGGGACAGGAAGACTTGTGTTTAGGCTGACCAAGGTCCTCGTATAGGTTGTATTACTGATCTACTGCAATCTGCACCACACTTGCCTATCTCCCTGGTACCTATTATATTCCTAGGTGGACAGAGGCGTCAGATATAAAGAAACGTGGGGGGGGGGGGTATTGTTGTGGTGGTGAAGGTGGTAGTTTCGGTGGGAGCTGTGGTTATTGTAGTGGTAGTTGTGGTGGTGGTTTAGGGGGGGTGGGAAGCAGGGCACCTAGGATGTATGCTAATGAAAGAGGTATTTGTGGAGTGGAAGTTTTAAGAGCAGAGGACCAGTCAGAGAAGGGAAGGGACTGGGGCCATATAAGCCCTGGGATAGGATAATATAGGATAGGAATAGATGCATCCAGAGGACTACATAAAAAACTGATGTTCCCAACGTTGGTGCGTCTGAGACGATGGTGTGGTAGGAACGTAAAAAATCTAAGCGAATATAATCAGTAGAAGTGGACAATCAGAGACGCATTTGGTGTGTTAGGAAAATCGAGAGAATAAGAAACGAAAAGATCAAATAGCGAAACGAGGAGTCACAAAAATGTGGCTGAAATATGTTGACCAAACGACACACTTGAAAGTGAAGGGGACGACGACGTTTCGGTCCATCCTGGACCATTCTCAAGTCGATAGTGATCGACTTGAGAATGGTCCAGGACGGACCGAAACGTCATCGTCCCCTTCACTTTCTAATGTGGGGTTTGCTCAACATCAAACAGTGATATATAGAGAAGAGAAGCCAATACGTCTCAATACTGAGAAGAACGTTCAGAGACGGTTTGGGCATCTTGAACGAATGGGTGACGGTAAACTGCTGAAGACAAAGTATGGGAATATGGTTAGCAGGAGAAGAGGAAGGCTGAGAAGTTGGGAGGACATGGTATGTGAGTGTGTGAGCTAGCGGGAGAGTGAGTGTGTGAGGCAGCAGGAGAGTGAGTGTGTGATCCAGCGGGAGAGTGAGTGTGTGAGGATGCTGGAGAGTGAGTGTGTGAGGATGCTGGAGAGTGAGTGTGTGAGGATGCTGGAGAGTGAGTGTGTGAGGATGCTGGAGAGTGAGTGTGTGAGGATACTGGAGAGTGAGTGTGAACACAGGATATGGGGTATATCTTTATGCAAATATATGACAGTTGACCAAGAGCGTCGTATACCTGGTCTTATGAAGCCGTGGGGACGCTGCTGTTGTGTGGTAGTGCTTGTTTATGCCTCATGCTAAAGCATAAGGACTCCATGCTGAAGCTGCATACTCCAGGATTGGTCTGACATATGTAGTATACAAGGTTCTGAATGATTCCTTACACAAGTTTCTTCTCTTGTGAATGATATCTGTACCTACAGGAGAGCATGGCTGTTTGTGTGGCTGTCTATCCAAAATTGGAGGCCGGGCACTTGGGGCAGCCCCGCGCAACTATGTAGGTGGAATGGTCTGGGGCATGGGTCAGACATAGGCTGGTTGGGGTAGAATCATGAGTTAAATGCTTAAAGAAATTTAGCCTGTAACCCAGCACCCCAAAATCATTTTCAAGACGTCTGAAATGGAAACATGGTGAAATTTGTTGGCATTTGTTGTTCGTAGAGTGTCGAAGCTGCTTCCGACGTTTACCCGCGTATCTTCGTGATTTACTTGATATGGAATTGTCTGCCTTTTCGAGGCTGGAGGGGAGAGGGGGAGGGGAAGATTGGGAGATGGCGGAAAGGGAACAGATTGGGGATAAGGGAAAACGGGGGAGATGGGAGGAAAAAGCGGGGAGAGGAGGGGGGAAAGGAGGAGGAGGGGGGGAAAGGAGGAGGAGGGGGGAAGGAAATGAGAGAAAGACGGGTGGGAAAGGGGAAGGAAGGATGCAGTAGAGGGGTTGAATGCATGAAGAGAAAAGGAGAATAACTGGGACTGAGCACAGAGGCCTATCTTGAGATGATTTCAGGGGTTTAGTGTCCCCGCGGCCCGGTCCTCGACCAGGCCTCCACCCCCAGGAAGCAGCCCGTGACAGCTGACTAACACCCAGGTACCTATTTTACTGCTAGGTAACAGGGGCATAGGGTGAAAGAAACTCTGCCCATTGTTTCTCGCCGGCGCCTGGGATCGAACCCAGGACCACAGGATCACAAATCCAGCGTGCTGTCCGCTCGGCCGACCGGCTCGGCCTAGACAGTGTGAACAGGCCCGAGGTATACCACTTTCTTGTTATTAATATATAAAGTGTGTGTGTTTAAGCGGCCACCATTGCTGCAAAGCTCTTGTTACCCGCAGTTTTCCCGCCATATATTAGACCAAACTGACTGTTGTGTTATGTGAAGAGTATATTTGGAAAGGCAAAAATGTGGGTTGTATTACAAAGGGGACGTTATTACCATACCCGCGGGGATTAGATAACAAAAAAATATAAACGGGAATTTATCATTGACCTCGGCCGGAGAATTGTGTGCACTCACCTTTACTTTTCCAGAATTATTTCAAGAGAATTTATTTATTTAGCGGTTCATGTCGAGACTGTTAATTACGTATGCATGTGAAGTAATTGTTTATATGTGCACAGGGGTGTGTGTGTGTACTTGCCTAGTTATACTCACCTTGTTGTGCTTGACCAAAGAATTCTGGCTCTTTGTTCCCCGCCTCTCAACTGTCAATCAACTGGTGTATTGCAGTCTGTGTGTTTATATATGTACTGTGGTGTGTGTGTGTATTGTGTTCTGTGTGTGTGTGTGTGTGTGTGTGTGTGTGTGTGTGTGTGTGTGTGTGCGTGTGTGTGTGTGTGTGTGTGTGTGTGTGTGTGATTCCTGGTGTACAGATTCCTGATTCCAGGTGTACAGATTCCTGAGCCTATTGGGCTCTATCATATCTACACTTGAAACTGTGTATGGAGTCAGCCTCCTCCACATCACTTCCTAATGCATTCTATTTGTCAACTATTCTGATACTAAAAAAGTTTTTTTCTAATATCTCTGTGGCTCATTTGGGAACTAAATTTCCACCTGTGTCCCCTTGTGTTAAATAGCCTGTCTTTATCTACCCTATCAATTCCTCTGAGAATCTTGTATGTAGTGATCATGTCCCCCCTAACTCTTCTGTCTTCTGCGACGTGAGGTTTAATTCCCGTAGTCTCTCCTCGTAGCTCATACCCCTCAGCCCGGGTACTAGTCTGGTGGCAAACCTTTGAACCTTTTCAGTTTATTCTTATGTTTGATTAGATGAGGACTCCATGTTGAAGCTGCATACTCCAGGATTGGTCTGACATATGTGGTATACAAATTTCTGAATTATTCTTTACACAAGTTTCTAAAGGCCGTTTTTATGTTGGCCAACCTGGCATATGCCGCTGATGTTATCTTCTTGATATGGGCTTCAGGGGGCAGGTCTGGCGTGATATCAACCCCCAGGTCTTTCTCTCTCTCTGACTCTTGAAGAATTTCATCTCCCAAGTGATACCTTGTATCTGACCTCCTGCTCCCTACACCTATCTTCATTACATTACATTTGCTTGGGTTAAACTCTAACAACCATTTGTTCGACCATTCCTGCAGCTTGTCCAGGTCTTCTTCAAGCCTCAAGCTGTCCTCCTCTATCTTAACCCTTCTCATTATTTTGGCATCGTCAGAAAACATTGAGAGGAATGAGTCTATATTTTCTGGAAGATCATTTACGTATCAGAAACAGGATACGTCCGAGTACATAGGACCTACGGGACTCCACTAGTGACTTCACGCCAATCTGAGGTCTCACCCTTCACTATAATTCTCTGCTTCCTATTATTTAAGTACTCCCTTATCCACTGGAGCGCCATACCAGTCACTCCTGCCTGTCTCTCCAGCTTATGTACCAGCCTCTTTTGGGGTACTGTGTCAAAGGCTTTCCGACAGTCCAAGAAAAGGCAGTCCGCCCAGCCTTCTCTTTCTTGCTTAATCTTTGTCACCTGGTCATAGAATTCTATTAAGCCAGTCAGGCAAGATTTACCCTCCCTGAACCCATGTTGGCGATTTGTAACGAAGTCCCTTCTGTGTGTGTGTGTGTGTGTGTACTCACTTAGTTGTGCTTGCAGGAGTTGAGCTCTGGCTCTTTGGTCCCGCCTCTCAACTGTCAATCAACTGGTGTATTGTGGTCTGTGTTTATATATGTACTGTGTTGTGTGTGTGTGTATTGTGTTCTGTGTGTGTGTGTATTGTGTTCTGTGTGTGTGTGTATTGTGTTCTGTGTGTGTGTATTGTGTTCTGTGTGTGTGTGTATTGTGTTCTGTGTGTGTGTGTATTGTGTTCTGTGTGTGTGTGTATTGTGTTCTGTGTGTGTGTATTGTGTTCTGTGTGTGTGTGTATTGTGTTCTGTGTGTGTGTGATACCTGAACTGAGAGCAGCTCTGCGGTACGACAACCGAGCACCGTTAGTAAACACCAGAACGATCGTTACCGTGTGACCTTAATTGTCTGTTCAGCGTCAACAAGGTCACCGTGTCGCAGCGACTAACGACAGTCCTTACAAGCACCAGCACAGACCCCTCTCTACCTCGGGGCTCTCACGGATGACGTTGTAGATGTAGATGATGGTAGATAATAATGCACTGATGGTAGATGATGGTAGATAATAATGCACTGATGGTAGATGATGGTAGATAATAATGCACAGATGGTAGATGATGGTAGATTATAATGCACTGATGGTAGATGATGGTAGATTATAATGCACTGATGGTAGATGATGGTAGATAATAATGCACTGATGGTAGATGATGGTAGATAATAATGCACTGATGGTAGATGATGGTAGATAATAATGCACTGATGGTAGATAATAATGCACTGATGGTAGATAATAATGCACTGATGGTAGATAATAATGCACTGATGGTAGATGATGGTAGATAATAATGCACTGATGGTAGATAATAATGCACTGATGGTAGATGATGGTAGATAATAATGCACTGATGGTAGATGATGGTAGATAATAATGTACTGATGGTAGATGATGGTAGATAATAATGTACTGATGGTAGATGATGGTAGATAATAATGCACTGATGGTAGATGATGGTAGATAATAATGCACTGATGGTAGATGTTGGTAGATAATAATGCACTGATGGTAGATGTTGGTAGATAATAATGCACTGATGGTAGATGATGGTAGATAATAATTCACGTTCGACTTTAAAGAGGCGATGACCCATGACGTGTGTCTACTGACCTCGTGAATAATTACGCTGCGTCTAGTGGCGCTGACCTGGATATTTACGCGCGCACTCTCCTGCGAAACCTATACATCTCTCATCAATCAGTTACCAAATACATTATCAGCTCTGAAATGCCACGAGGAAGCTCGTAAATTGTTGAATAAATGTAAACAAGGCCGCTATGATTGTTGAAAGACTTACGGGTTTCGAAAGTGGATGAGTGATTGGTTTGATGATTCTTGGCCAAGATTACAATATCCTATACATAGCTATACAAGGCCGGCCATAGTGATAGCATCTTCTTGAGGTTATCTTGAGAAGATAGTGATAGGTTGAGGACATCCTTGTAGAGCGCTTCGGGGCCCACATAGCTCTCATGTGTGGGCCTGTAGCTGGTTTGTGAGTCCTTTACCCAGGAGACCTTGTGGCTGACCAAGGTCCAGGAGACCTCTTGGCTGACCAAGGCCCAGGAGACCTCGTGGCTGACCACGGCCCAGGAGACCACGTGGCTGACCAAGGCCCAGGAGACCTCGTGGCTGACCACGGCCCAGGAGACCACGTGGCTGACCAAGGCCCAGGAGATCTCGTGGCTGACCACGGCCCAGGAGACCACGTGGCTGACCAAGGCCCAGGAGACCTCGTGGCTGACCAAGGCCCAGGAGACCTCGTGGCTGACCAAGGCCCAGGAGACCTCGTGGCTGACCACGGCCCAGGAGACCACGTGGCTGACCAAGGCCCAGGAGACCTCGTGGCTGACCAAGGCCCAGGAGACCTCGTGGCTGACCAAGGCCCAGGAGACCTCGTGGCTGACCACGGCCCAGGAGACCTCGTGGCTGACCACGGCCCAGGAGACCTTGTGGCTGACCAAGGCCCAGGAGACCTCGTGGCTGACCTCTGCTCACTGTGGCCTGGGAATCCGTGGAGGTGGGATGGCTACCATCCATCACTGTCCTGTGCAGCGGCCTGTTTTGCATACAACTGTATTTCCCCGGTGACTGGGACGAGTAAGGTCAGCAGTAACTGACTACAGCGGCGCTCCTGGGTATGGCCTCCCCCCGGACTGGCTGGACTGGTGGCAGGGTGGTCTTAGCTGAGATTCACTATCGTCTGGTCTTTGTGCCAGAAAAGGGAAGACCTCTTGATTCATAAATGCTAAATACTGTTCAACGAGGTATCGGAGAGACAACTAATGTAAGTGGAGACTTCCTCTAGAAGGTAATAGGAGGTAATCAGCCAGGAGTAAAGAGGTTTAAAGTCTAGTGACTTACATGTCCCGGGAAATGGGAAAGACCTGTAATGTGAGACAACACTAAGCCCCCATCACCACAGGAGCTAAATCCCCACATTGCAGGCGATGAGTCACAATAACGTGGCTGAAGTATGTTGACCAGACCACACACTAGAAGTTGAAGGGACGACGACGTTTCGGTCCGTCCTGGACCATTCTCAAGTCGATTGTCGACTTGAGAATGGTCCAGGACGGACCGAAACGTCGTCGTCCCTTCAACTTCAAGTGTGTGGTCTGGTCATCATCAAAAATCCCCACATTAACCACAACACCAATGTACACGAAGCTGGAGAACGTCCCGCTGGTCTCTGCGAACCTAAACACGGTTTATTTTAAAGCTTTATATACACCATCTGTGTGAGTATAGTATAATAATGTGCAACTGCAGGATGAAGCTTATCTTCATGAAGCAAAGACCGAAGTTAGAGGTGGGGGGGGGTGAGAGGAGGAAGGAGGAATTATCAAGGGAAAGCGCCAAGCCATTACGACTATATAGCACTGGGAAGGGGTCAGGATAAGGATTTAGGATGGGACGGGGGGGAGGAATGGTGCCCCCAACAACTTGGAGGGGGGGGGGGAGAGGCTCGCTACAAGACTAGCCCCGGAACTGAAGGGTCTGAACTACAGGAACAGGTTTAGGCAACTCTGCTTTAAAACATCTGGAAGCAGAGAAGGGAGATTGGTGACTTGCTCAAGACAACAGAAGTAGATAAGTTTACGTTTAACTTAAAAGGAACGTAAGGACATGGTTTGAAGCCAGAGGAGTCATTAAATATATATATAAGGCAGCGTTAATCCAGAGTCATCGGGGGGGGGGGGCAAGAAGAATCAACTGCATGACATAACAGCTTAAGCGAACAATATTCACTGTCTCATAACCAGATGAGTTAGATAAATCAGGAACAGGAGTCATTTTCTTTTTTTTTTAGATGACTGACAACTGAAAATGGCGGGTTACAAAGTTCGCTACAGCCATGAAGGGCGCGTGTGCACGCCCTGACGGAGCTCGTCCACCCACGCCCACACACACAGCCAGGACCTGGAAACATGATAGGAAAGGCCACTAAACCACTGGAATGAAAGAGCAGTTGTAGTTTTGCAGGTTCCCATTGTCTGGAACGGGAAGAAGGTTAGATATATCGAGGGTTGCCGATCTTGGCCGACGACAGACCTTGCCAAGGATACAACCTGCAACAGTCGCCTTAATACCAGGTACCCAGGTACCTCCTAATTCACACCTGGTGAACAGGTATACCCAGGTGTGAGACGACGTGCCAAAATGTCTACATCTTTCCTTCGGCTGCGAACGGACAGAGCAACAGGTATATCTGAAGAAGCAGCAGGTATATCTGAAGAAGCAGCAGGTATATCTGAAGAAGCAGCAGGTATATCTGAAGCAGCAGCAGGTATATCTGAAGAAGCAGCAGGTATATCTGAAGAAGCAGCAGGTATATCTGAAGCAGCAGCAGGTATATCTGAAGAAGCAACAAGTATATCTGAAGCAGCAGCAGGTATATCTGAAGAAGCAGCAGTATATCTGAAGCAGCAGCAGGTATATCTGAAGAAGCAGCAGGTATATCTGAAGAAGCAGCAGGTATATCTGAAGAAGCAGCAGGTATATCTGAAGAAGCAGCAGGTATATCTGAAGAAGCAGCAGGTATATCTGAAGAAGCAGCAGGTATATCTGAAGAAGCAGCAGGTATATATCTGAAGAAGCAGCAGGTATATCTGAAGAAGCAGCAGGTATATCTGAAGAAGCAGCAGCAGGTATATCTGAAGAAGCAGCAGGTATATCTGAAGCAGCAGCAGGTATATCTGAAGAAGCAGCAGGTATATCTGAAGAAGCAGCAGGTATATCTGAAGAAGCAGCAGGTATATCTGAAGAAGCAGCAGGTATATCTGAAGAAGCAGCAGGTATATCTGAATCTGAAGCAGCAGCAGGTATATCTGAAGAAGCAGCAGGTATATCTGAAGTATATCAGCAGCAGGTATATCTGAAGAAGCAGCAGGTATATCTGAAGAAGCAGCAGGTATATCTGAAGTATATCTGAAGAAGCAGCAGGTATATCTGAAGAAGCAGCAGGTATATCTGAAGAAGCAGCAGGTATATCTGAAGCAGCAGTATATCAGCAGCAGGTATATCTGAAGAAGCAGCAGGTATATCTGAAGAAGCAGCAGGTATATCTGAAGCAGCAGCAGGTATATCTGAAGCAGCAGCAGGTATATCTGAAGCAGCAGCAGGTATATCTGAAGCAGCAGCAGGTATATCTGAAGAAGCAGCAGGTATATCTGAAGAAGCAACAGGTATATCTGAAGCAGCAGCAGGTATATCTGAAGAAGCAGCAGGTATATCTGAAGAAGCAGCAGGTATATCTGAAGCAGCAGCAGGTATATCTGAAGAAGCAGCAGGTATATCTGAAGAAGCAGCAGGTATATCTGAAGAAGCAGCAGGTATATCTGAAGCAGCAGCAGGTATATCTGAAGCAGCAGCAGGTATATCTGAAGAAGCAGCAGGTATATCTGAAGAAGCAGCAGGTATATCTGAAGAAGCAGCAGTATATCTGAAGAAGCAGCAGGTATATCTGAAGAAGCAGCAGGTATATCTGAAGAAGCAGCAGGTATATCTGAAGAAGCAGCAGGTATATCTGAAGCAGCAGCAGGTATATCTGAAGAAGCAGCAGGTATATCTGAAGCAGCAGCAGGTATATCTGAAGCAGCAGCAGGTATATCTGAAGCAGCAGCAGGTATATCTGAAGCAGCAGCAGGTATATCTGAAGCAGCAGCAGGTATATCTGAAGCAGCAGCAGGTATATCTGAAGAAGCAGCAGGTATATCTGAAGCAGCAGCAGGTATATCTGAAGCAGCAGCAGGTATATCTGAAGCAGCAGCAGGTATATCTGAAGCAGCAGCAGGTATATCTGAAGAAGCAGCAGGTATATCTGAAGCAGCAGCACATCATCATCAGTTTATTAGTCCTATAATAATAATATATAGAGTTTCTCCACTAAATTACAAAACAAAAAACATTGCTAGACGATCTCTAAAATAGAGTAAATATACCTTTTTACACCAGAGCTTCAGTATAATTTTGTAAACAACATCTTTATCACCAGCCCAATAGGAGGGTGGAGGCCAAGAGCACTTGGTACCCTTGTCAACAGCTGGTACCCTTGTCAACAGCTTGGTACCCTTGTCAACAGCTTGGTACCCTTGTCAACAGCTTGGTACCCTTGTCAACAGCCTGGAGCACTTGGCTGTTGACAAGGGACCCGAGGCTTAATGGGCAGTGTCACGTGACATTAATTGGAGGCCTTCCAACGTGAGATCCTGCAGGATGCCAGCGTGAAGATGGAGATTATTAGTACGAGGGTACTATAAGATACTACTAGGAAGAGGAAGGCTTTATCTGTTTTCAGGTCCTACAAGAACGAGGAGGTTGTCAGCATGATGGGTCCTGCAGGATACTGTCAGTATTGATGATTCTTGACAGCAGTGATGATTCTTGACAGCAGATATTGATGATTCTTGACAGCAGTGACAGCAGATATTGATGATTCTTGACAGCAGGATTCTTAGATATTGATGATTCTTGACAGCAGATATTGATGATTCTTGACAGCATTGATGATTCTTGACAGCAGATATTGATGATTCTTGACAGCAGATATTGATGATTCTTGACAGCAGATATAAGCCAAGGGTACCTGGAGCACTTGGCTGTTGACAAGAGTACCTGGAGCACTTGGCTGTTGACAAGGGTACCTGGAGCACTTGGCTGTTGACAAGAGTACCTGGAGCACTTGGCTGTTGACAAGGGTACCTGGAGCACTCGGCTGTTGACAAGAGTACCTGGAGCACTTGGCTGTTGACAAGGGTACCTTTAGCACTTGGCTGTTGACAAGGGTACCTGGAGCACTTGGCTGTTGACAAGGGTACCTTTAGCACTTGGCTGTTGACAAGGGTACCTGGAGCACTCGGCTGTTGACAAGGGTACCTGGAGCACTCGGCTGTTGACAAGGGTACCTGGAGCACTTGGCTGTTGACAAGGGTACCTGGAGCACTTGGCTGTTGACAAGAGTACCTGGAGCACTTGGCTGTTGACAAGGGTACCTGGAGCACTTAGCTGTTGACAAGGGTACCTGGAGCACTTAGCTGTTGACATGAGTACCTGGAGCACTTGGCTGTTGACATGAGTACCTGGAGCACTTGGCTGTTGACATGAGAACCTGGAGCACTTGGCTGTTGACATGAGTACCTGGAGCACTTGGCTGTTGACATGAGTACCTGGAGCACTTGGCTGTTGACAAGGGTACCTGCAGCACTTGGCTGTTGACATGAGTACCTGCAGCACTTGACTGTTGACATGAGTACCTGGAGCACTTGGCTGATGACAACGGTACCTGGAGCACTTGGCTGTTGACAAGGGTACCTGAGCACTTGGCTGTTGACAAGAGTACCTGGAGCACTTGGCTGTTGACAAGGGTACCAGCAGCACTTGGCTGATGACATAGGTACCTGGAGCACTTGGCTGTTGACAAGGGTATCTGGAGCACTTGGCTGTTGACAACGTACCTGGAGCACTTAGCTGTTGACAAGGGTACCTGGAGCACTTGGCTGTTGACAAGGGTACCTGGAGCACTTGGCTGTTGACAAGGGTACCTGGAGCACTTGGCTGTTGACAACGGTACCTGGAGCACTTGGCTGTTGACAAGGGTACCTGGAGCACTTGGCTGTTGACAAGGGTACCTGGAGCACTTGGCTGTTGACAAGAGTACCTGGATCACTTGGCTGTTGACAACGGTACCTGGAGCACTTGGCTGTTGACAAGGGTACCAGCAGCACTTGGCTGATGACATAGGTACCTGGAGCACTTGACTGTTGACAAGGGTACCTGGAGCACTTGGCTGTTGACAAGGGTACCTGGAGCACTTGGCTGTTGACAAGGGTACCTGGAGCACTTGGCTGTTGACAAGGGTACCTGGAGCACTTGGCTGTTGACAAGAGTACCTGGAGCACTTGGCTGTTGACAAGAGTACCTGGAGCACTTGGCTGTTGACAAGGGTACCTTTAGCACTTGGCTGTTGACAAGGGTACCTGGAGCACTTGGCTGTTGACAAGGGTACCTGGAGCACTTAGCTGTTGACAAGGGTACCTGGAGCAATTAGCTGATGACAACGGTACCTGGAGCACTTGGCTGTTGACAAGGGTACCTGGAGCACTTGGCTGTTGACAAGGGTACCTGGAGCACTTGGCTGTTGACAAGTGTACCTGGAGCACTTGGCTGTTGACAAGGGTACCTGGAGCACTTGGCTGTTGACAAGGGTACCTTTAGCACTTGGCTGTTGACAAGGGTACCTGGAGCACTTGGCTGATGACAAGGGTACCTAGAGCACTTGGCTGTTGACAAGGGTACCTGGAGCACTTAGCTGATGACATAGGTACCTGGAGCACTCGGCTGTTGACAAGGGTACCTGGAGCACTTGGCTGTTGACAAGGGTACCTGGAGCACTTGGCTGTTGACATGAGTACCTGGATCACTTGGCTGTTGACAAGGGTACCTGCAGCACTTGGCTGATGACATAGGTACCTGGAGCACTTGGCTGTTGACAAGAGTACCTGGAGCACTTGGCTGTTGACAAGGGTACCTGGAGCACTAGCTGTTGACAAGGGTACCTGGAGCACTTAGCTGTTGACATGAGTACCTGGAGCACTTGGCTGTTGACATGAGTACCTGGAGCACTTGGCTGTTGACATGAGTACCTGGAGCACTTGGCTGTTGACATGAGTACCTGGACACTTGGCTGTTGACATGAGTACCTGGAGCACTTGGCTGTTGACAAGGGTACCTGCAGCACTTGGCTGTTGACATGAGTACCTGCAGCACTTGACTGTTGACATGAGTACCTGGAGCACTTGGCTGATGACAACGGTACCTGGAGCACTTGGCTGTTGACAAGGGTACCTGGAGCACTTGGCTGTTGACAAGAGTACCTGGAGCACTTGGCTGTTGACAAGGGTACCAGCAGCACTTGGCTGATGACATAGGTACCTGGAGCACTTGGCTGTTGACAAGGGACCCGAGGCTTAATGGGCAGTGTCACGTGACATTAATTCGCCAAGTGAATTATGGGACTTTCTATCAGGTGCACTCTGTGAGCCACTCCACAAGGTGCACTCTGTGAGCCACTCCACAAGGTGCACTCTGTGAGCACCAGCACTACCGCTATCAACGTGGGAGCTTCTGGAGTAGTGTGAGGCTTCGATTAAAGAGTTATTGACACCAATAAGATGTTTTCAGTTCATGGTAATGATTAATAATGATTAAAGACGTGTTAGTTTGTCCACCGAGACTCTTGATGGGGGTGAGTGAAGAGCAGGAGGTGGAGAAGATAATGGGGGAGAAGGATGAAGGGGTTTCGTTGTTATTATTAGTATCCGTCAGACGCCTCCTGGGTCAATCAGGGGTGTGTGTGTGTGTGTGTGTGTGTGTGTGTGTGTGTGAGGGTGAAGACTAACTCACAGGAGGATAATATGGGATGTGAGACGTGTGTCTCTACATCACATTCAGAACGATGGAACTCCAGAATCTGGTCTTATATTAACTTGGCGGAGTTTGTGTGTGTGTGTGTGTGTGTGTGTGTGTGTGTGTGTGTGTGTGTGTGTGTGTGTGTGTGTGTGGGTGGGTGGGTGTACTCAACTAGTTGTACTTACCTAGTTGTGCTTACAAGGGTTGAGCTTTGCTCTTTCGACTCGCCTCTCAGCTGTCAATCAACTGTTACTAACTACTAACTATTTTTTCCGCACACACACACACACACACACACACACACACACACACACACACACACACACACACACACACACACACACACACACACACACACACAAACACACACACCAGGAAGTAGCCCGTAACAGCTGTCTAACTCCCAGGTACCTATTTACTGCTAGGTAACAGGGGCATTCAGGGTGAAAGAAACTTTGCCCATTTGTTTCTGCCTGGTCCGTGAATCGAACCCGTGCCACAGAATTACGAGTCCTGCACGCTGTGCACTCAGCTAACAGACCCCCCACACTCAGTTACCAGACCCCCACAATATGTGTGTGTGTGTGTGTGTTGGACATGGATCATTAACTATTGCTACAACTTTTCTTATTTTTCGGGTAATTGATCGAAGCACTGATCCATATAGTAATTCAGACGCATACCCTTGGAGCAGCCCGTCCTCCAAACAAAGATCCAAAAGTGATTCCATGCACCCTCCAAACCCCCAGTTTATGAATGAAAAGCGGTTTACACACGACTCACAACTGCTGACGTTCGAACATATCCGGAACAAGTGTTTCACTGACGGATTTTGTTCGAATCACAACGCTGTAAATGCTTCACCCACGTACTACAAATACAAATAATCGCCAACAGAACCTAAACACCTGACCTAACCTATCCTATATATACACAATATGCTAATATATTATAATATTAATTTATACTTGAGAAAATTCCCGTTTTGAATGAACAGCATGTTAAAATTTATGAATGCGTCTGTGGGGTCGACCGCTGGATGTAATGGACTTGAGTCGAGGACGGGTTGCTTGGAGCCAGCCCGTCCTTATAAACAAAGAGCCAGAGTCCATTTTATTCACCCGCCAAACCCAAGCTGTTTATGAATGAAAAACTGTTTACACACGACTCACAACTGATGACATCCGAACACTTCCGGAACAAGTGCTTCGCTGACGACCTTTGTTCGAACGCTGTAAGTGCTTCACCCACGTACTATATATACAAATAATCGCCAATAGAACCTAAACACCTAACCTAACCAGTACCTAAATATGCACAGTCTGCTAATATATAACAATATTAATTTATATTTGAGAAAATTCCTATTTTGAATGAACATTGAATGTTAAGATTGATGGATGCGTCTTTGGGGTCGAGCAGCCGGTCCTCATAAACAATGGCTAAACGCTCGTTGTTTAAGATGTTTAAGATTCGCTACCTGGGGCCAGATTCACGAAAGCACTTACGCAAGCAGTTACGAACGTGTACATCTTTCCTCAATCTTTGACGGCTTTGGTTACATTTATTGAACAGTTTACAAGCATGAAAACTTCCCAATCAATTGTTGTTATTGTTATAAACAGCCTCCTGGTGCTTCGGAGCTCATTAACTGTTTAATAATTGTAAACAAAGCCGCCAAAGATTGAGGAAAGATGTTCAGATTCGTAAGTGCTTGCGTAAGTGCTTTCGTGAATCTGGCCCCTGGAACAAAAAATTCCTAGTAGCACGGTCTATGGTGAGTCCGTAGTAGCTAAACGCTCGTTAAACCAGCCGGGCTTCTTCCCAACTGCGGCAGACCGCGAAAGCTGATTCATAAATTTGAGCGTATTATGTATAATATAAATTAATATACCATATATTAGAATGATGTGTATAGGCACGTTAAGGTTAGATTAGTTGATAAGATTCTGTTGGGAATTAGTTGCCTTCGTTGTACGTTGGGAAGCATTTACACACAGATTAGTGATTCGAACAGAAGACAGTAGCGAAGTACGGTTCGAGAGAAGTTCGAACGCCTATCATCTGTGAATCAGAGGCAAAGTGTTTTTCGTTCGTAAATAAAGGGGATTTGACGGCTGAACTAACTAGGATTCGGCCAATGTTTGAATGATTTACTTGTCTAAACTTGAGTGAAACCAGATTGTGTTCTAACTTTGCTTGAACAGTGCTTCTCTCTCTCTCTTCCCCGTGTTCGCGTTACACTTAGCTAATTGAGGCCAGTCCTCATAAATAGAGGTCAAATGCTCATTAATCAAGCCGCCAAAACCACTGGTTATGAATGAAAAACGGTTTACACACGACTGATTTCGTTCGAACACTTCCGGAACAAGTATTCACCTAGTTGTATTCATGTAGTGTTTGCGGGGGTTGAGCTTTGCTCTTTCGGCCCGCCTCTCAACTGTCAATCAACTGTTTACTAACTACTTCTTTTTTTTCTCCACACCACACACACACACCCCAGGAAGCATCCTGTGACAGCTGACTAACTCCAAGGTACCTATTTACTGATAGGTAAAAGGGGCATTCAGGGTGAAAGAAACTGCCCATTTGTTTCTGCCTGGTGCGGGAATCGAACCGGCGCCACAGAATTACGAGTCCTGCTCACTATCCACCAGGCTACCAGGCCCCTAAGTGAAAGTGCTTCACTGACGAATTTTGTTCGAACCACAACGCTGTAAATGCTTCATCCACGTACTTCAAATACAAATAATCGCCAACAGAACCTAAACACCTAACCTAACCTATGCCTATATATGCACAATATGCTAATATAATATAATATTAATTTATATATTTAAAAAGAAATCCCGTTTTGACCGAACAGCACGTAAAAGTTTATGAATGTGTCTGTGGGGTCGACCGCTGGATGTAATGGACTTGAGTCGAAGACGAGTTGTACAACTAATGATATTTGCACATTTCTCGAACAGTGCTTCGCTGACAACCACTGTTCGAATCCTACCTCTGTTAGAGTACTCACGTACTTCAAATCCAAATAATTTCCAATAGGGCCTATAAACACCTAACCTAACCTATGCCTACCCTAACCTAACCTATGCCTACCCTAACCTAACCTAACCTAACCTAACCTAACCTATGCCTACCCTAACCTAACCTAACCTAACCTAACCTAACCTAACCTAACCTAACCTATGCCTACCTATGTACACAATTCCGGTATATAATGAAACGGATTTATATATATAATAAAATCCCAATCATGAGTGCACAGTAAATTAAAATTGATGAATGAGTCTTTTGGGTCGGCCGCCGTCGGAATACCTCACCCATCTACAGCAAATATTGTTGGCAATAAATTGTTGGCAATTTATATTGACAATAAACATTGTCAACAAATCCAAAATACCTAACCCCAGTCAATCCTTGTCCTGAATATACACAAACTTAGTAAACACATTACAATGCATTTATATAAGAGGAAATATAATTTTGGCTACATAGTTCGTTATAATTGGGAAATTAGTCTATGGGGTCGGCCGCAGGGTGGACGAGCAAGGCGGATACGCTGTGTAGAGGACTATTTATCAACCTCCACTGTCAGAAAAAATTACCACGCAATCCACAACTCATTTCCTCCTTACTCTAGCCCTGGGACTAATACAGGGGGAAGGCCGTGTGTCCTTATTTGATGAGGAGAGGAGAAAGCCCCCAAAACCTGGCTCTTCCCTCAAGATCCCCGCCACTACAAAATTAATCTCAAATGTCTTCGGGTGTGTATTCGAGCAGTATAGACCCCCAAGAGCAGCAGACCCCAACAGCTGCAGATCTCCACCAGCAACAGACCCCCAACAGCAACAGACCCCAACAGCAACAGACCCCAACAGCAACAGACCCCCAACAGCAACAGACCCCAACAGCAACAGATCCCAACAGCAACAGACCCCCAACAGCAACAGACCCCAACAGCAACAGACCCCCCAACAGCAACAGACCCCCACAGCAACAGACCCCCAACAGCAACAGACCCCCAACAGCAGCAGACCCCAACAGCAACAGACCCCAACAGCAACAGACCCCAACAGCAACAGACCCCCAACAGCAACAGACCCCCAACAGCTACAGACCTCCAGCAGCAACAGACCCCCAACAGCAACAGACCCCCCAACAGCAGCAGACCCCCAACAGCAACAGACCCCAACAGCAACAGACCCCCAACAGCAACAGACCCCCAACAGCAGCAGACCCCAACAGCAACAGACCCCAACAGCAACAGACCCCCAACAGCAACAGACCCCCAACAGCAACAGACCCCCCAACAGCACAGACCCCCAACAGCAACAGACCCCCAACAGCAACAGACCCCCCAACAGCAGCAGACCCCCAACAGCACAGACCCCCCAACAGCAGCAGACCCCCAACAGCAACGGACCCCCCAACAGCAACAGACCCCCAACAGCAACAGACCCCCAATAACAGACCCCCAACAGCAACAGACCCCCCAACAGCAACAGACCCCCAATAGCAACAGACCCCCAATAACAGACCCCCAACAGCAACAGACCCCCAACAGCAACAGACCCCCAACAGCAACAGACCCCCAACAGCAACAGACCCCCCCACAGCAACAGACCCCCAATAACAGACCCCCAATAACAGACCCCCAACAGCAACAGAGCCCCAACAGCAACAGACCCCCAATAACAGACCCCCAATAACAGACCCCCAACAGCAACAGACCCCCAATAACAGATCCCCAACAGCAACAGACCCCCAATAACAGAACCCCAACACCTCTTTTTGCTAGCACGAGAACCCTTGCCCCTTCCAGCGACTTACAAAATCGGTTCATCCTTCCCAAAGAGCACTCTACTAACCCCCCCCCCCAGCCAGCCCCCTCCCCCCTCTCTCCTCTCCCCCCCCCCCTCCCCCACTACCCGGTGGCGTCTTCGGACAGAGAAGATCAACGTCGCCAGTGACCTTAAGCCTCACTGATCACCCCAATTGGACCAATGCAAATAGCCTAGGGAACAGGCGGTCCAAGATGGCGGAGGCTGCGGCTTTAATTTTGCCCGAACAAGACGATGGATATTATATTCTCTCTCTCTCTCTCTCTCTCTCTCTCTCTCTCTCTCTCTCTCTCTCTCTCTCTCTCTCTCTCTCTCTCTCTCTCTCTCTCTCTCTCTCTCTCTCTCTCTCCCTCACATGAGTATTCAAACCCTTCATTACCATCTTGAAAATATTCAAAACACAACAACTAACTAAGCAAACTTTCCCTTCACTTCCGCCATCGCTGGAAGGCGCCGGCTAACTTTGCAAGACTTTTATGGGAACTTACTTGCACAAAAAATATATTTGCAGATAAGTAAATAAATATATAAATAATCCGCCAGAGTGACTCCTTTAAACCCAAGTGGCGTCAGAAACCCGCCAGAGTGACTCCCTAGAACCCAAGTGGTGTCAGAAACCCGCCAGAGTGACTCCCTAAAACCCAAGTGGTGTCAGAAACCCGCCAGAGTGACTCCCTAAAACCCAAGTGGTGTCAGAAACCCGCCAGAGTGACTCCCTAGAACCCAAGTGGTGTCAGAAACCCGCCAGAGTGACTCCCTAAAACCCAAGTGGTGTCAGAAACCCGCCAGAGTGACTCCCTAAAACCCAAGTGGTGTCAGAAACCTGATAGAATGACTCCCTAAAACCCAAGTGGCGTCAGAAACCCGCCAGAGTGACTCCCTAAAACCCAAGTGGTGTCAGAAACCCGCCAGAGTGACTCCCTAAAGCCCAAGTGGTGTCAGAAACCCGCCAGAGTGACTCCCTTAAACCCAAGTGGTGTCAGAAACCCGCCAGAGTGACTCCCTAAAACCCAAGTGGCATCAGAAACCTGCCAGAGTGACTCCCTGAAACCCAAGTGGTGTTAGAAACCCGCCAGAGTGACTCCCTAAAACCCAAGTGGTGTTAGAAACCCGCCAGAGTGACTCCCTAAAACCCAAGTGGTGTCAGAAACCCGCCAGAGTGACTCCCTAAAACCCAAGTGGTGTTAGAAACCCGCCAGAGTGACTCCCTAAAACCCAAGTGGTGTCAGAAACCCGCCAGAGTGACTCCCTTAAATTCAAGTGGCGTCAGAAACCCGCCAGAGTGACTCCCTAAAACCGAAGTGGTGTTAGAAACCCGCCAGAGTGACTCCCTAAAACCCAAGTGGTGTTAGAAACCCGCCAGAGTGACTCCCTAAAACCCAAGTGGTGTCAGAAACCCGCCAGAGTGACTCCCTAAAACCGAAGTGGTGTTAGAAACCCGCCAGAGTGACTCCCTAAAACCCAAGTGGTGTCAGAAACCCGCCAGAGTGACTCCCTTAAACCCAAGTGGTGTCAGAAACCCGCCAGAGTGACTCCCTTAAACCCAAGTGGTGTCAGAAACCCGCCAGGGTGACTCCCTTAAACCCAAGTGGTGTCAGAAACCCGCCAGAGTGACTCCCTTAAACCCAAGTGGTGTCAGAAACCCGCCAGAGTGACTCCCTAAAACCCAAGTGGCATCAGAAACCTACCAGAGTGACTCCCTAAAATCCAAGTGGTGTCGGAAACCCGCCAGAGTGACTCCCTAAAACCCAAGTGGTGTCGGAAACCTACCAGAGTGACTCCCTAAAACCCAAGTGGTGTTAGAAACCCACCAGAGGGACAGAGATACTAACTCCATTATCCCACATGGCTGTAACACTCTTCAATACACACTTCTTCACTGTAAAACTCTTCACACCATCTACATCCCTTCCCCTCAACACATACCCTCCTAATGACCCCTAGACACCCCTTCCCTTAATTATCCCCCCACTCAAACCCTACCCATCTCCTCCCTGCACACTCACACTCTACCCATATAGAATGGGCAAACCCCCCACCCCCCACCCACCCCATGAGCTCTGAGTGGCTACTTTCACATCGACAAACTTTGTAATAGGGAATATGGGCCAATTTTCCCCCTTTCAAGTGGGGGTGGACCCCAATTTTCCCCCTTTCAAGTGGGGGTGGACCCCAATTTTCCCCTTTGTGGCATTCCAAATATATATCATCCTTAATACTGCTCCCAAATACAGACATTTTCGTTTTGCAGCTGTGATTTATATTTGAGACATTTTTGAGGTATCATTTATGCTGCCCAGCCTCCTAAGACGAGAGTTCTTATAGAAATTATTTGGTGGTAAGTGACACTATTACGTGGTGGATCACAAGACAGTACACTTGTTGTATTGTTCCATTTGGGCAAAGCAGAAATCTTAGTTATCACCAACGTGAATATGAGAGTTTACCTCAAATAGCCTATAATTTATACTAGTTTACCTCACATAGCCTATAATTTATACTAGTTTACCTCTCATAGCCTATAATCTCTCCTAGTTTACCTCGAAAAGCCTATAATCTCTCCTAGTTTACCTCACATAGCCTATAATCCCTACTAGTTTACCTCACACAGCCCATACTCCCTACTAGTTTACCTCACATAGCCTATAATCTCTCCTAGTTTACCTCACAGAGCCTATAATCTCTTCTAGTTTACCTCACATAACCCATAATCCCTACTAGTTTACCTCACGGAGCCTATAATCTCTCCTAGTTTACCTCACGGAGCCTATAATCTCTCCTAGCAGTCTCTGGCCTAATTCATCTTAGACCTAACATAGTGTGTGTATATATATATATATATATATATATATATATATATATATATATATATATATATATATATATATATATATATATATATATATATATATGCTGGGCTTAGGAATATTTCAAATCTGCTGCTTTAGCTTGATTTTTTTTCCCTGTCTATAAAATTAATGGTACCAAATTTTGACTAATTACTGGTCTATTACCTCATAGTTGTAATTTCGGCCCAATAGCTACCCAAAAAGCATTATATCATCTCAGAGGGATGGGTTGAATGGACATCGTGTCAGGGGATGTAAAACAGCATTCACCTACATTTTTCATGCTGTTGCAATATGTATTGTTATATTCACTGTTGCAATATGTAGGCGGCAATTCTTCCCCCTAGAGGAGACACCGTTCAATTAACTGATGCAGCAGAAAGGGGAGGAGGTGGAGGAGGAGAAGAAGGAAGGAGATTTACCGGAAGATTTAATGGAACAGACGAAGAAGAAGTAGGTCAGAGTGGGAGAGATGGGACAGGCGATGGAGAGATGGAGATGGTGGGAGAGAGGGAGCTGGTGGTGGTAGTGGTGGAGTATGTGATGGAATGGATGAAAAGGAAAGTCGTGAATCTTGGGGGAGGAGGGGGATCGAGGTAATGGAATAGGTGATGAAGTTGATGAAGGAAATGTGATGGGAGATGTAATGGAAGTGACGGTAGATTCGTAGACAGGATGAGGGAACAGTTGATGAAAGTTGACCCCCAGAGACAAATGGGAGTTTTGGAATGATGCAAAAGAAGACTGAATTATAGGTGAAGGAAGGAGAGAAGGCAGTGATTGAAGAGTAGGAGCAAGAAACGAAAGAGAGGAAGAGAAAAGGATAAAAGAACCTCAGGTGAGGGAGGTAGAGATAACACAGCCTCAGATGAGAGAGAGGTAGAGATAACACAGCCTTAGATGAGAAAGATGAAGAGATAACAGCCTCAGATGAGAGAGCTAGAGATAACACAGCCTCAGCTGAGGGGGGGGGAGATAAGAATAACCTACACCCACACGAAACAAGGTAGGGGTGCTGGCTCCACATCCCCTCCCCCCTGAAGGTCATCACTCCCAACAAGGGGAACCAGGACCAAGCTTTCGAAAGGTCACGAACCGGGAGACTAACATATGCTTCTTAGTAAACGCAAAACCACGCTTGCGCAAAGCTTACCGCATCCTCGGAGACTGCTGCTGCCTACCCAAGCTTACTGTATGAGGCCTCGTATGTTTAGATGCAACTTGCATTATTGTTGCTGGAGTTGGTATTGGTGTTGCGGGCTGTGTAACATTGTTCATGCTCGCCCGGTTATTGTCATTTCTCTCTGCAAGCCAGTTAATAAACACATCTCGCTGCACCCAGGCACCTGCAAGGTCCACACCTGTAGAGCAGCAGGTGTGCAGAGAGAGAGAGAGAGAGAGAAAGAGAGAGAGAGCTTGATGCAAGCACTGTGTCTCAGTTATCTGAAATACTCATTCCACAAGAAGGAGTCTACCGTCTACTTAAGTCACCGGACTTAAGGCGGTGGGGCCGGATAAGGTCAGCTTAAGACTGTCACACCGTTGTGAGGATGTACGGGCTTCGTCATGTAGTTCCGGTTCACAAAAGGAAGAGTCGTTCAGGAGAGGTGACTACCAACCAGCGTCACCGCTTTCAAGAACTGGGAACAAATTTGAGACATTATTCTCTCACCAAATGAAAGCGTTTTTGATCATCATTGATTACTATGGGGTCGTCAATTTCGTTTTAGGAAAGGTTGTTCTGCCGCTGACCTCTTCCTAACCTCTCCACTATGTG